ACTGACTGACTGATTGGCTATGGCTACGATAGCTCAACAGCATCTGCCAGACTGACCACCCAGTAATACTAACTGTGATACCCAGGCAACAAGGAGAAGAACAGTCAGGAAGCTGGGAGGGCGAAGGAAGGTGGCTTATATATAACGAAGAACATTAGGTACTGATATGTACCTTCCACGGCTACGCAGTCCGTCTCCATAATCTGGCAGGCCATTTGAGGGACCGCTACCCAGATATCAGCCATCGAGCCCGCAGCGACCCCGGGCAATATCACAAGGGCCTGCTGCCAGCGCTGCTAGAGGAGGAGCCGAGAGACGATCAGGTGACCCAACACGGCCCGTCTAACCCTGCCGAACCCGTCGAGGGTCTCCCCATCACCGGGGTTTCGCATGCACATGGCCGGGCCAGGATACCTCACGCGGAGCTGGAAGTGCCTGCGCATGCATCTAGCAAACATGACGTAAAGGCAGACAAAAGGAAGACACAGGAGGACCTCTGGGCCAGCGTGCATCTGCAGCGATTCTTTGGCAGGCCGAAGAGAGCGATCCGTTACTTTTGTGTCCGGACAGTAGGAATAGGAGACGAAGCAGGAGAGAGTGAGGTGGGACGAGTAAGAGAAGATGGAGACGGGGTGTCCCGGAGACAGACGTAGAGATTGGTATACATGTTTATTAACAGCTATCGATAGCCATCACTGAGCGGCATGCAGGCGGGGCTCTTGCGACCTTTGATCGCTTCGACAACATGACCAGTGTGTACCGTGAGATACCTCTCATAATAGCCCATAGCTGAGTCAACTCCACCCATAATTGAGACGATGAGGTATACCCTGTTTTCCTGTTCCTGATTGTCGTCTACGCGTAAATTATCCTTAACATACCTCTCTCGCAAGTATATTTCTACTGCTGGTACATCCTTATAATTCCATGCTATGGCGAAGGATTATACCCATTTTGATCGAAGTTCGGCTGACGCGGTACTGATGCGCGCGAACATGTACTCCAGTCTTTTTCTTCACCATATCGACACTTTCTACTGTAATCATTGACAGAGATTTGATTGTAACAGTCCTTACAAAATGATGCTTCACGATATTACGCGAAGTGGGTGGAATCGCTCGATCGCGAGACGGTAAAACGTCTCGGTTTAGCCTCAACGCTGCCTCATGAGATTAGCAAATCCAACAAGTAATATCCCGGAACTCAAGAAGAAGGATTTGAGTTTCGGTCCCCGGTTACATCTGGCTTTAGTTTATACGCCTCTGTTCGGAACGAGTTCCATTATACGCTGGAGTTGGGATGGGCGAGAGTTGACAGCCCATGGCAATCTGAGATGATGCCACCCTGTCATGTTCATTTTATCTCCTGGATAGGTCTCTTGTAGCGAGCAAGGTATTGTGTGCGATCGAACAAGTGTAGTCGTAATTACAATAAGTTGATACCCACGTAATCCGCCGCGCAGCTGGGATAGGTTAGCACGGACGAAGACTAGACATGGGACGAGATTCAGTTCGACCTCGGTACAGTGAATGAATATTCGATATGTTTCAAGTTTATTCAAACCGTCTCACGCTCCAAAATGGAAGAATTGCGCCGAAGCCAGAGGCTGGTCCCAATTCTGCTTTCAATACAGTTACTGCCTCGCGTAACGCCAAAACAATGCTGCTATCCGCCATGTCGCAGCTTTCTTACAAGAGTTTGCTATGGAGACGGTTTGCAGTCCTCACACAGAAGATAGATATCCATTGATGGTCATTAATAACGCATAGTATGTGCGAATCCGGCAGCCTGAAATCTACCGATAGGATAGATAACCTCGTCACGTAGACTAGCTGCCCGGTTCTCCGTTGTTGAACAAGAAGAGAGATATGCAAGCCTCACGTATCTTGAATCCCACCGAGCTATCCTCCGGACCGTCACTAGATCCTGGGTAAGCTGTTCAAGTCCCTCATGGCTTTGAAAACACAATTCACTCTTAGACGGACGACGTGGTCTGTCAGTCCATGGCACGCCAAATGGGCGATGTGGCAATACTCTAGGCTACGGAATAAGTCGTTAGTGTCAGGGTGATCATGTGTTCGTGCTGTGAAATGTGTGTCAAAGACTTTCAAGATATCTATTATTGGACCTGTTTTCCTTTCCTTTTTTCTTTTCTTTTTTCTTTTTTTTCTCTCCCTCTTTCCTCTATCCTTTTGCCGCTTCATTCTGCATTCCCTTCTTGTTCATTCATTACTCCATCGAACACCTCAAAAACGGAAAGTTCAAGAAAGAACAGCATGGTTTCTACACTCATTCCCTATGGTCTCTAGACGTTCGTTCGGGGCCCATTGTGAACGAATACATAATGGACATTCCGCGATGTGACAAGCCTTGTTCTGACTCTCTTCACCGCTATTAAAACACTTGCCTGTCGCCATCTCGCCACCCAGCTCTCCTGTAAGATAGGCTCTTGACTCAATTCGGATCGTGGCAATCACGAATCAGGCATGTTAGGCAAAAGATAATGCGTAGGTCAGAAATGATTTGCTATGGATGCGTGAGACGCCCTCTCTCGTTCCTGATACAAATCGCTCATATGATAAGCCGATTCGCTGTGTAGATGTCTACCAGGGAGATGGCGTTTATGGGTAAGAGGAATCGACAATTCGTATACTTGAGCCTGTTCTCCAGCTCAAGGGAATTGAGTTGGGTCTTACCTCGTTCAGCAGTGGTCGTTTTGACTTAAATATCTATGGCCCACAGAGGAACACATCGGTTGGAAAACGTCTCGCACAAGCGAATGTTTACCTGCAAGACCCCTCAGCCGTGCGACCAGGACTGCCTTATAGGAATGCGCAGAGGACCAAGTATCCTGGCTACATGCTCGACAATCCCTACATCGCTCACAACCTATGGGATAGAGCATTTGAACGGCCGGATATCCAGTCGTGGTCGACAGCAGACGTGAAAAGAATGAACAAAAGCGAACGGCGGCCAGCCAGAACATTCGACCATTACAAAAGACTACCTGTCGAGATACGATGTATGATCACCGCTAACCTTACAAGTGGCGATATGTTCAATTTTTTAAGAAGCCACAAGATGCACAGCACGATATATCCTCTACCCGCCGGCTGAACAAGACTGCGTGGGATCGATGGTTCAGACATTACAGGTGGCTTGACAAGATGGTTACTCGAGGGTACCAGCCTGCCCTGATAGGGAACCCCAACAAAAGTAAAGACCATAAAAACATACATTTCGCTCTATTGTTGGTGGGCCAGAGAGAACCAATGGATTGGGCCCGTGACAGCATCGAGCTCATAGAATCCCTGAAATGGCAGGAAATGAACGAATATGCAGTCGCGGCGCCGGGCTTTGCACATTGGCCAACCGTTTGGGAAGACGCAGCTTCAAAGATACCCTAACATACACGATAGTCTGCGCTTGTCAGCTTTCCATACAAATAGGCAGATTTCGGTGTTGAAACGTCGAGGTAAAGTAGTAAAGGATTGGGATGCCCTGATGTTCATGTTGTATTACCAACCAGCCAAACATGAGTCACACCCTGGTACTGGTTGGCATGTGACCATAGCACAGATTCGAACATTCTCAGACTCCTTCCAAGTTCGCGATGCAAAGCAACCAATGTACAAATGGTATTTTGAAGGACGCTAACAGAAGAAATGGTGGGTGAAAAACGAGAATGGAACTCGGTATAGGGTATGGGACACGCTGAAGGTCGATGATTGGACGTCAATTGTACTTTACTTCTTCTTCGTGGGAAGCAACATGAAACTGAGTTTTTTCACCTAGGAGATATCTGTAGAAGAGATAACCTTGTACTTTCGTTATGCTACGAAGCCTGTTGAATCTCATTCCAATCATGAATTACTCTCCCAAGGCGGATTGCTGTGCGGTGAGCGGAACCACTAAATTTGTCAGGTCGTGGCGGGGCTGTAGTTGATGGGTTTACATCATGTGACTTTTTTGTTCTTGAACTGAAATTGGCCAAACGGCAAAAAGTGAGGAAGAATGAAAATGGACGTTGAGTAAAATTAGTCCCTCCAGGCCCACCTGCTTTGTGATTACTGGCCCTCCCCAGTCTCCCATGTCTTTACACCAACACGTGGTTCTACACTCAGCTTGATGTACGCTGTGTTATGCCGCTGCTTGACCCGTGTATCCGAATGGCGCTGTGTTTCATCCAAAGCTAGTTTCCGCTTGTAAAGAATGACCGCCTTGACATCTCTTACCGCGGCTGGGAGCCTTGGAATGTATTCGGATTGTTTCGTACCGAGGTTGCGACTAGCCTTCCATACCCAATTTCTTCGGGATGAACGTGAACCCGCTGCAGATGCAACCAAAGACGACTGACTCCTCTTGAGGATGCATCCCATTAGGAGAGGTTCCAGACACACTTTTGTAGTTGGATGGTTGAGTTGTGGACTAAGAAGGAGAGCAGGCCAGCAATGCTTAGTAGCCGCTGACTTGACTCTCGTTCGTGGTGTGACCATATGGGCCGTTCATAGCCGTAGTCGGACGATTGTAGGCCTGTAGTGTTCATGTGGTTGAACGCAGAAGATCGGAAGATGCATCTTGAAGCAATGCGTTATTGATCAGGGGTGCAGGTTTCAGCCCCTTTGGATGTGCGATAGCACTTCTGCTGCCGTTCACAAACTGCGATCTACGCTGCGCCTGCTTAGCCTCTTTGCACGTTGCCTTCCGGATCGTGATTTGGTAGCTCTCGACTTCCAGCCGAAACAGGCATCGAAGGAAACCAGGCTGTGTTCCATGCCGACCCACAGGGCAGAGAAAGCGTTTCGTTGGGCTTTTATTATTGTTATTCGGCGTTCGTCTGCACAGACCAGTGGCATCGCCTACAAGGTCGCGAACCCTTCTCGTGATTCGAATTACTTAAATAGCCCTTCATAAGCCTTGAGCTTGAAGTTTGGACACCCACACATTTGTGTAGCTTAAAGAACAGGCTTTTCCATAATCTAGCTAAGGGCACTATCAGCATGGGTAGAAACCTTGTTATTTATTATAATGACTCCATCGACTCGGACAACCTCGCTGCCGCAATGGCCTTGTGGAAGGCGACATACCAGAGGCCAAACACTCGCTTGATTTGGATCATAGAGCCTCGCCAGGTGGGCTTTGGGCTATCTATGACAGTAGAACAAGTATCAAAGTGTAAGGACTTGATACAAAAGCACTTTGGATCGCTTGGGAATCCCTTCAAGGTGCTTTTGAGTGGACTTATCAACCAGACGGATCTTGATAATATCAAAGCTGTCACACAGGTTGATCGCCAGCTGGTACCCTCCCCTTTCCAAATACCCTACTATGAATTTCACTGACCCAAGGGCAGCTGCAAATGGCTGTAATGCCGGATTACGATTCACGAGAACATGCCGCGTGTCATGGACGCCTTACAGCTTGGGACTTTGCTTCTTGTTTGGCCGAGTGGTCGAAGAATGCCCCCAACCAAGTCTTCGTGGATTTTGAGAGCCTAGATGAGATTGAAAATCCCGTGAATCTCAACTTTCATCATCATGAAGAGCTTGTCAACCGGAGCGCAGACGAGCTGAAGGCATACGATAACATTATGAAGGAACCTCTTGCACAGCGATCACGGAGCCTACAAGACTGGTACGAAGGATGCGCCAAGAGAATCGAGCAAGAGGAATGCAATTCGAAGACTTCTGTGCAACCTCTTAACTTGAAAACTGTTTATAATGCAATCGAAACTGCAGCAAGTGTTCGTTTCTTTGGGGGCTCTTCTTTGAGGATCTTGCGGCAGTTTCTTGAGAATGGCGTAGCTGGTAAAGTCAAGTGCCATCTGCAAGTGGTATGTATCAGTTTGTGGTAGTTCTGACTATGGTACTCACTAACAATTACCAGGGTTCTTGCGACATGTCGGCGAATCTATTTGCAAATCAGTTCAATATCGCTCTCAACAGAGAGGCTGCCAAAACAGTGCTTAGTCGATCAACAGAGTTCTCAAAGTTTACCGTTGTCCCTTCACACACTGCACAGAGTATGAAATACTCAGCGTTGGGTCTGAAGGACGCCGGAGGTCATTGCCTAGAGAAGCGAATCTTGGGCTTTAACTGTCGCGAAGACCCTTTCAAGATCGCCACGAATGTTGTCTCGTTAGACGGCCAATATTCCGACAAAGCATACGCGATGCCGGACTTGACCACATTCCTATGTGCGCTCATTCCTGGCTATATGGGGTCGAAGTTGGAATTTGTAGAAGTTGAGGAGGATTCCAACGGGACGATTCTCTTCAAACCTTCTAACAAGGGAATTAGGATGTACAGTTTAGGAGAGCCAAAGACATTCATGCTGGACGAGATCTTCGAGAAAATGGCAACAGACGAAGTGCCACATGAGCAGCCTCGACATGGTAACGGCGTCCTCGAAGGCAATTGATTTTTTTCCATTTCTTCTTCCCTTCTTTTCTCCTCTCTTTCTTTTCTCCTTCCTTTCTTTTCTCCCACCGCTTCTCCTGTTCATGGACAAGTTCAACACTCTACAATTGCACCAGACGTTCCGAGATCTTTCAATTTAGGGATGAGTTATAATAGCAGCCATAGATAATAGACAATTCCGAAACGTAACAGCAAGTCGACGCAACAACTTCGTCCTGGGGTTGGGTACTTCGACCTCATCTCGATGCATACCAACAGCCAAAGAAGATAGTCTTATCATTTACCAGGATCATAGATGTTAGCCGCACAGGCTCAGGATTTATTGTAGACACATAAAACTTCAACATTGGACCGTCTGTTGCCCTGCGTAGCAAACTTTCCGTATCCACTGCTCGTAAAATTCACTACTCGCAAGGGAGCATATATTGAGGCTTGTTGAATATCGGATGACGATGAGTGGTGCAGTTTTAGAAACGACGTCTACAAACTGACAATCTTGCACTGTAGCAAGCCAGTCAGTCACATCGTTGTCAGCTTTTGAGTTTTGAGACAAAGCTTGGAACTCGAACATACCGTTCGGTCGGTTCTGCTTCCTACGTTCCTATTATTGAACATCTCCTGTGAGTCATGTTTATCAGACACAAGTCTTTTGAGTCCTAGTACTATTGTAGCTCATACATTCAGCCTTTGATCTTTCCATCGCGTGTGTAAAACGTCTCTCTGATCTTGTACAAACGGCCGAAGATTCTTGAACTGGCCCGCATCTGTAGCATGTAGTCCAACAGAGAACGTTTTGTACAATACTGCGGCACGTCCTGACAGTCTCTACCTCCTTTCCTCCAACGCGGCAACGACGAATATGATGTAGCCAAGACTTTGCCAATGGGGACGCTTATCTTGTAACGTGTATCAGGCGTCAGACAATATGTCGGGAGTGCAGTGAATAACAACGGAGTTATTTCCATATCTGTGCCTGATTCCTTGTCGAATCCTTTTCTACGTCTTTCCGTCACACCGCCGTCGAACCTTTCCCCGTGCCTGTTTGTGGCATGGCCGAAGGGATTGGGCAACCACTGAAACGCTGTGATCTAGGTTTTCAAATTTCTGCTCGAGTTTGGACTGTTGTTTGTAGCTAACCGGCGGTGCATGGGCTGGCTGGCAAGGGGTGTAGATGACAATCTCGTCTGTTTATTCTCGCCTCGGAACACTTCAAGTTTCGCCCAGCCTTTGAGAATGGAAGGCCGATACCATACCCGCTTCCAGATCCTACCGCGCCTGCGTGTTCAGCAGTCTTTGCGAACAACAGAGGCAGCTATGACCCGGTTCGAGATAAATGGTCTCCCAATATCACCCCTGGTCTTAGTGGCTATCAACCAGCCACCATTCCAGACTCAACTCAGCAAACCAAAATCTCGGCAGGAGGACAACAAGATAGCAGTGCTCCTCAGGAGGTTCCCGGCCCAATTGTTTTTCGGTTAAAGTGGTCTGCGGAGCGCCAAAAAGGGGTGGAGTGAGTAGTCGACGTACATCTGAGTTTAGTGTTGAGGGAAAGCGAAGAAGTTAACCGGAAAGAGACACTATGGTCTTTTCAGCTCAGGGGCATCCTCGGGAATGCAAATCTTTATCCCTAACGATTCTGGGCCCATAATAGTTTCCATGCAGCGGCAAGCAATTATGATTCAGGCTGTTGTAACTGACAAGGCCTTCTCCATGGAATGAATAGGACTGTGTTATGCGAAAAACCCTTCTTTGATATCATAACTGGACATCGTGGTGAGCTGGAGTTGTCGATCGGATTTTAAAGGGACATCCTACCCTACGTGCGGCCGCTCCGCTAGAAAGCTCAGGCATCTTTATCAGGCGACAACTACGAAGCAAAAGCTTTATACAAGACATCGAAGGATGTTTTATCGCTGCTGTAATCAATTATCGCTCTCCTCCTGCAACAAGTAATCACTGCCTAAAACCGCTCTGACCACCCCCCACAATCCCCTCAGCGGCCATCCGGTGATCGCTGTTGACGCCATATGTTTCTCGTCCTCATCGACATGGACTTTAACCTTGTCATACACATTCGGTAGGTTCGAAGCCCCATACTTTGCCCTTAGCTCATCATATGACTTCTTGTCGTACTGAGACCAGAACTCAGCCTCTTCATAGTACGCATGAGCATAAAGCCATTTCCCCCCCACACTCTTGCACTTTCGGCTCCAGCGCTCGGTTGTGCCGAATAACATCTCGTCTATTTCCCTGCAGCGAGCCCCAAATACCAAAGTTGACGAGATCAGCCGCGCCAGGCTTCCCGAACTCGGCATGGAGACCGTAGTCCGAGTTTTGGTCGTCGCGCCGTACGCGCAGCGGGCATATCCAGAGAGAGTACATACCATGCTCCTTGTCCAACCAGTCCTGGAACTCCAAAGCATGGTCATAGGGGACCCCGACATCCTGCACCATGTAGTAGTCAAAGAGCCTGCTCGTGTGACCGGCAGAGTACATGACTCGCACCCGGAGGAGGGGATCCAGGATCTATCGAGTGAAACGATTGAACGGGGTGATGAAGTACTCAAAGGCATATTTGGCGACCCAGAAACCGCCTCGATCGTATCGGAACAGGTAGTCCCTCAGTGGGATATAGTCAACGACACAGATAACCGACCCGTTGCGGAGATCTTCCTGTACCCTTTCGCTGTGGAGATAAAACTACTCATCCTCCCTGCGACTCAGGTATCTTGGCACCGCACCCACTGGTATCTTGTCCACCAGACGTCCGATGCATATCGCGGCAGTGAATTTGGAGTAGACTATGTCATCGACGTAGTCGTTCTCCATCTTATCGCACTCGTCTTTAATGACTTCGACCATCTCCCGAGCACCGCACGTGACCTTGTACCTAAGCTCGACAAACGGTTTTGCGTCTTTTAACTGAACTTCCAACAAAGTGACGACACCGAAAGTTCCGAAGCCCGAGGTGGCCCCCCAGAATAGATCTACCTTATCCTTCTTGTAAGCGGCCTCGATCGTTCCGTCGGCAAGGATGATCTGGATCCAGTAGACGGTAGAATCAAGGGCTCCGTATCGAAAAGAGCTACTCTCTCCTGACGTCCCGGAAAAGCCACCTCCGACGGTAATGGCAAGAAACTCCATCACGACCAGCGGGACGAGCCCGTACGGCAAAGTTGCGTCTACCGGGGCTTCCATGGTCACATTCGGCTAGGCGAGAACTGTCTTTACGCCTTCGTTCATCTCCAAGACGCGGTTGAGTTTGCTGGTGTTGACAGTGTTGTCAAGACGACGATTGGACTGTCGTGTGCTATTGGCCGATCCATGGTATAGTCGAAAAGGCTTTCCCTGAACGTGGAAGCTTTCGACTGCCTCTGCAACGGACTTAACGGCAACGTCATGGGCATCCATTGTGAAAAAGATCGTCGGCGACATCAAACCTGCCACTTGGAAAACGAGCACAGTTCCTCAATTGTCGTGTGCTGATCTGGCTGGACACAAATTCAGGTCAGCTCTTCTCCTCAAAAAGTCCGCAATAGTCTCTCGGTCAATGCGATGTCAAAGACGCGCTGCAAAAGATTGCGTCCTTCAGTATCCAATCAAGAAGCAAACTTTTCGGATGTTTGTCAGCCAAAGGAAAAAACTTCGACGCCTTATGTGGTGACGGGGTACCTGCAAACTTCATGGTAGAGTGATGTGGAGCGTCACGAAGAAGGGGAGGTCCGGCATCTGGATCCGTATAGGATATATCAACACAGAAACACTAGATTGGAGTCACTAGATCCAAGCCGTTCCATTATGCAGCAATTACCTAACACTCAAACGTTCCCGTACAAATGCAATGTCCGGATTTGCCCTTTCCCTCTGATGAAGGCGAGCGTGCCGGGGCTAGCGATGGCGGCCAAAATCAGAGGCTGCTGACCACAGCACGTGCCCAGTTCAGTTCTAATGCGAAAGGTGCAGCCGCCGACAATCTGTTTTCGTTCTGGCTCACGTGACGTTTCGCAGGATCTATGGTTTCACGGATGGCAGGAGGAAATCCAAGGAAATGCCACAATCTCTACAGTATTGACCGAAATTGATCATACATTTGCATCATACTACATCACAGTCTTTGATGTGATTAGATAACCTATAGGACGTGGTAGATACAATTTATCCTTCTTGGAATCTTTATGCTTTGGCAATCTCTTAAAAGGTTGGTGTAGTCAAAGGAGTCATGATCCATTTTCCGAAGTGTAACTATATTCAGGAACCTCATCTGATGGCTCATGTCCTGCTCTCTTCCGCTCCTCAATTTGACCGTGAGCGAGCCAGTTTCGAAATTGGTAGACCAATCACCCATTTCGCCTCTGGGTTGGGTAAATCTCGTGGTAGGATGGTGGGCAGTTATTCTTCTTGAATCGACAAGAGCACCACGGTCCCTTGTTGTGTATATCAGGGGCTTTGTCCCACTTCAGGCATGCAATGACTCCCATCAAATTCCACTTGGATGTATCCCGATGTAGCGAGACTGCTTGCAGGCTTTCCAAAAAGCTTGATATCCTTTCGTAGGTATCGCTCTCGTTGCAAGGGCGAAAGCTACCAAGGGAATCAAGAATTTTCTGGGGCTCAAGTGCCTGCATCTCTTTAACAGTGACGGGCTCGCCTCGACTGTTCAACACTTTGGGTCTTGCCCACAGCCAAGCATGCGCAACGAGAGAGATCAGAAGTCGACGTCCACCAACGTAGATCTTTTGGTCGTCTGTTTTGGCTGTACATCCTGGCGAAGAAATAAGCTTGGCGAAGAAAATTGATGCATTCTGTGCACGCACTTTGAAAGAACCCTCTTCCATCGCTTCAAGAGAAAAAGAGCCGGCCTCATCCAAGAACAGTGTGGAATCATCGATCCATTATCCACTTTCTTTGAGCGCCTTCAATGCATCCAAAGCCTTTTCCTTCATCAGTCCTGGCTCGATGTAAATGGGCGTGCAGGCTAGTCTGTTGGGCTGCATAGTATCGTCAGAGTATAGGGGTGCAGAGAATTGTCAAGGTCAGCTATCCAGATGAGCACAAGAGGCCAGTTCAAAGCCGGCTTATAATTTGGCTTTTCAGCTATTTATGATCTACATGTCGGCCTGCGGATACAAGTTACATATCTTCAAATACCCACCAAACCCGTAACGTCCAACGCTGGCTTTCAGCCCCTCTTAAACTCTCTGGTTAAGGATGAATGACGCTGGAAGTCTAAAACATTTGCAAATACCCAAAGCGAAAGTACTGTAGTGGAGTTCCATAAGTATTGAAATGGTCTCCGATTTGACCCGGACCTGTCGTAGACATCGTGCCACCGACATATCTTGATAAACCAGCCATCAACAGACGAACGAGTAACGCCATACTCGATGCTTGATACAATGACCCGACGCCATTGACAGTCCCACGGTATTTTAGCTAGTTGAAAGGGGCGAAAGTGAAAGGGAAAGCGCAGGGCATGATCCCTTCACGTCGCTCGCCACGTCTGGAAATGACCGCGAACCAATACACTCACCTCGCCATTGCAGGAGAGTATCATGTGGATTTTACGATCTGATATGGAGTAATATGCAGGTTGAGAAACTATGTTATTCTGTCCCTTCTTTTGATAAACCACATCTTCCTCATACTCCGTGCAAGAAAGCAAAAGCCGATTATAACGTGGAGTACTGTAGCCAATGGGCAAATGCTGCTTTCTGTCTCCTGATGCTCGCTTGCAGCTGACATACTTACATGTGCCACTGGCCGCTAGCAGTTCCCAAGTTTTTGGCGCTCGGGGTAGACACATCCAGTGGTTTCCAGACATCGACTTCCTAGATAGTTGGCGGCATGTATATCACGCCGGTTTGTCTAGGCGGAATTAGTAGTGCTTGACAATAGGGATCTAACAACACTGGTTCCTTGCATGTATAAGTATGTAAGAGAATGACTATTTGCTAAATGGTAATGCTTTCGTCATTGTAGAACAGCCACAGTCCCTGCAGGTCTGACAAAGCTCGGCAAGCTATTCTCACAAACTAATCTCTGAAGGAATATCCGGTGAGCATCCTGCGCACCTGTTTCTCTTTTTCCTTTTTTCTTACTACTGTACACATTTCACAGCATCTTGACCTCCTTTTCCTGCTTCGGTGTTATCATTAGAATCGTTATTATCACTTTCAGTGTTAGGGTACAATGCTATCGACTGGTTGACGGCTTGGCTGAGTGGCTTCCGTTTATTGCGTATTATGATTTGTAGTCAAATGGTGAATCACATCTGTGGGTATTCAGAGACAGCTCATAGGTAAGATGCCCCGTTTACTGGGGCTGAAGAGAGCAGATTCAAGAGGGGAAACGCCCGAGCACGGGGACAGGACGCAAACGCTGACTTGCAGATAAATCCAACTTCCATTAAATGTAGAGCATAGTACCCCAAGCCCTCCAACAGAACGTACAGAAATACTAGTTACATTGTAAAGGAGCATGGGTGAAGCTTAGTAGTATCTCCTCAACTCTGTGTCACACTTTTAGTTCCTGCGGGCTCTTCCTGAGTGTATGTTGAGATCGCTTGCTTCAAACTTTCCTCTCCGTGATGATCCAAAGGGCAGGTTTTTGAGTAAGATTGAAAGCCCAGATCTGGCAGTATGGATCTCAGATAATACTGTGCGTCTCGTTTCTCTTCGTCTGCGTCAAAGAAGCCTATAGGCCCTGGCCAACTTTGAAACAAATCATGGTCGTCGACCTTTCGGCCCAGTCCATGAATAAAAACGGGGCGACGCGAGAAATTCAACACAAAATAAGCATATGTGTCAAAAATCCCACGATCAGGACCAACAAGAGATAGCGGCGAGGTCGAACTTCCGTTCTGCCATCGCTTGATAAAACCGTGATCCCAACAATCCTCAAAGATCCTTTCCCACATCTCTTCCGCGTATTCATTGACGTTTACCACGAGGGAACTCACTTTCCTATAGCCCTGTGGGCTCCGACAATAGTTGGCGATGCGATGAAAGGGTATAATTGTTGGGACAGGACCGTCTGTTACCGAGCAAATGGGCCCGTGGCTCATCGTTACCGTTCACTTCAGGTGTTCCGATAGTGACAGTGGACCTTGTCATGTTCACTACAGGGTCGTGAGAATGGGTGCAGCCTTCAGAAGGTTAAAGAAGAAAAAGGAAAACGGTTATCTGGTTGAGGATTGCAATATAGCTGCCCTCGTATTTTTATCACTCGTCACTCGCTCTAGGTAATTTTCGACACGACAGAGAGGAGGAAGTGAATAGAAGAAATCTAGAAGGATGGCCAGGACTCTTCTGCTTTGTGCTGGGGAAGCTGATCTATTTAAGCTGTCCTCTTGCTTTGCCGAGACTTTTGGCTGAATCAACAGACCTACGCCGGGTCATATTAGGCAACTGCTTTTGGTTTCAGTGCCCACATAGGGTAGCAGCTCAACTACGAACGGTGAGGACAGCCTATCCTGAGGATGCATTGCTGGTGCCTGACGGCTCGTTTATGTTGTTGGTGTATGTCCCAAACTACTTGCCGGCACGTACCTTTTTCTCCGTGGTCACTCCAATCACGGCACGGAATTGTGAGATATCAACCTTGAACCTCATAGACGTACAGATGGTTACCTCTACCTAGGCAGGTCTTCTGGAAGATCTCGACGGCGGAGTTCGTTCGATGTCAGTCAAACATCCACAGCGTAGCCATTGCCCCGCAATCCTTCTCTCCCCGAGGACGGCATAAGATAGTCAGTTACATTCCTAAACCACCCGTATCATTGTTAAGTCGGATTTCTGATATTGAGGGCTGATAGGGCTACGTTTGATCTGTCCACGGACATCAAAACCCTGGCACAGGCGCGCCAATATGCATCGCTACCTGAGTTTGCGTTCCTTTTTACCCGAAGAGTGAAAGTGGATAAGCCCCTTACGCCACATCTGAAAGGCTTTGTCGGGCTCGTTAGGAGACCTAAGGATGAAATGATGGGAGAGAGTAGCCTTGTCACTCATGACACCGATTGGCCCCCCTGTCTACTCTTTCACCTTGTCATTGGTCACCATGGCTTAATAGTTCCGCGTATTCTCGTCATGATGATTGGTTACACAAATGGCCAAGATGTTAGTCATCGAATACGGGATATGGTCTCACAGCGGGAACGTGATCAAAACAAAATGCGATTGTCTCGAATCAAAACAACAACTTTGCATCGGTGTCTCTGCCTGTCCAACATTCTTATTCCCTCTCATGACACATGTTTCTTTTTGACTGTTTCGGCAACGAACCAGGCTTCACATCGACCTCTGCTGACTTCCACTCAACCGCCCGATCCAGTTACCTGGCCTCCGAACTAACATTTCGATCGTGACGCGTCCGAAAAGATAACGGAGATCGAACCGAAGTGCACCATGGGCTCCCAGACCAGAGAAGCCCTATCTCAAGACTACCTCGGGCTCTGGGAACAATTCTGGAAATACTGGTGACAAGACTGGTAACTATTCGAAGAAGTGTTGGAAGAAGGCTTGAAACAAAGCTTGGAACAATCCTGGCCCTCTATTGTCGAGAGGCGGAAAGCCAAACAGACCTCAAAGATGCAAGAGGAAATGGCGTTTGGGCTATTCGACATATTTGGAAAAGAACCAATCGAATAACTTCTTTCAAATTGGTTCGCTTGTCGAAAAGCACTTTCGACTTCTGTCCAAGAGCAAGGTAAAGTCTGGATCAAAGATACCATCACAAATCCTAACATTTTTCTTCGAATAGAAGGGGCCGAACATACCCCCAATGCCGATCTAACAGCATCAGAGTCTGTCGCAAAAAAGCCCACTGCAAGTCCCCCGGACACAGCGAACGAAGGAGTAGCTCAGACTGCCAACCGAGAACCGAGTGACGAGCTGTTCGCCAACGCTCGACAAAAGAGAGCGGTGCCAACTGCGTTCTCAAATTCGCCAACTGCCAAGCGGAGATCTGACAGGAGGGCGGAGTTTGGAGCGGCAGATACCACCGCGTCGTAGCCCGAAGGCGAATTAACCCAGGTGGAGAGTCAGCTAGTCTGCAGGTTCCTCTGGAATGACTGTTTCCCGGCTTCCTCGTGTTGGTTATGTCCTTGTCAGGGGGTTAGCAAATCACCCTCCGTCTTCCCCTTTTTTTTCTTGTGGTTTTTTTCTTTTGTGCTTCACCTTCATGTCACTCTGAGGGCGTATATCCTACGTCCTATCGTCTTTTCCTTGGTTCCGGGGTAGCGAGAGCCGATTTTACCCACCCACCCATCCGCTTCACTTACGCCCCCTATCGTATCTCATTTAAACAATCACTACTCTGCTCCGTCTTCTCACGTTCTTGTTTTTCTTTACTATATAGTCGTTCGATGCCCACTACGATAAAAAAAAAAAGCGTTTGACACGCAACAAAAAGCAGCTTTGTTCCCCTTCAACTATAATCCCTCTTTTTTCCCTCGTTTCGTTCAATCGAATTACGCCCTGCCTACTACTTCTCAGCATGGTCCAGCAACCCCTTCCGGCCTCGGACGCCGCTTTATCTCCTCGACCTTCATCTGTTGACGTCGTCCTGGGTTCAAAGGTCGAGCCTTGGCTTACAGCAACACTCGAGCGCATCAGTCGAGGCGAACGTTCTCTCAACTCTGCGTTTCAACATCGGACATATCTTAGCGAAACTGTCTCATCGCCAGGCGCCATCTGGACGTTGACCTCGCTTATGTTACCTACGACGCCCGAGTCCGGCCTCAAGCGGGATGCTGACAACCCCCTGGTTGAGGCTATCATGAACTACGAGATGGTCTACGTTGAGGCTTACATCGTTCACATCGACATGTTTTGGAGAAACGAGGTTACCTACCAGCTCACGAAAGACACCATCGATGCTTTGGTTGAGTACCACAAGGAGATCCATTGCGTCGATACCAAGGCCGATACATACGATTTCATCGGAAAGGAACAGCAATGTAAGAAGCTTCACGATGATTTCGTCCAGGACATCAATAAGTTTGTTTTCCGAACCCATGTCACAGCCCTCGAAGGTCTTGAGGAGGAGGGTGCTGGCGAGCTTCTCTGCGGGAAGAGCGACAAGGTCAAGGCCAAGATCAGTAGTCTTATGAAGCCTCTGGAACCTCCCTTACCTTCTTATGATGAACGAGCCTTCGAAGGATGTGCTTTTCTTCCCCCAGGTCAAAATATTTGCTAGACGTTTAAGGAAAGCGTAGACATGGCTTTATTCCAAGGACTACATGGGCTGGCAATTGGGTGATAGTGTAGAACAAAGACACTTCAGGTATACCTATTTTTGGAACTATCCAAGTTCCTGTCTCGGGGAGGCAGGATACAAGACATGTAATTAATCACATCGAGCCATCGACAAAACGATCAGAGGTTACGTTCCTTGCGTTTCAGCCAGGCTGTAATGCTATTTATTCTTGTTGCTCGTCAAACTTGCTACAACTGCTGTTCTCACGCGGGAAGATCTTCCGTAGTAGATAGGGAGCTCGCTGAGCCTTCGGCGCGACCGAAGAGGCCAATTGCCTCGCTAGTGCCCATGAAATCGATGACGACGGACTCAACAATCAGGAGAGGTGCATGGCACCACTCTTCACTATCCGAGAGTATCTCGGCTTCCACGTCATATTGAATCGTCTTGCGACTCAGGATGGGCGATATTGGTCATCCGACTAAAGGCCTTCACCTACGTACGTATGAGGTCTGTCAAACGTAAGCTGCTCGGAGATCGGGGTACACTAAGGGGCATATTACAAGGGAAGCAATGTGTTGCACGCAATAGAGAAAGATCTGCAATTGACTACATCAATATGAATTTCATGGTGATTGTGTTAGCTTTTCGAACATGTAGTAACTATCAACTGCTGTATCTGCATCTAACTAGTTAGGTCTGAGATCCTTCTCAATACCTTTCACATCTGGACTATGTCTACCATGTGGAAATTGGTTTCCCTAAAGGCCCTGTGGAGAATGTCAATGTGTACTTCCTATATGAACCTTCCAGATCATAATCGGGTGCCTGTGACATACTTATCAAACTCCATGTCAACAAAGATTCTCCATTGTTGCATGATTTCGCTCAAATCATATTGGGAACTTGTGCCTGGCTCAGGTTCGAGTGCTGGAGAATCGTCCCGACTGAACAGACGTGTTCCCTTTCTTTCATTTTCTACAATTCGGACCACACAGTCAAGCTTCTTCTTTTCCATGTAACGAAGATCCATGAAAGGGTAGCATATCAGGATGAGCTCGACATCCCGCCTTGTCAATCTTGACTTCCTCGCTAGATTCGGGAGTGCCTTTCTCCTTGTTTCCGGTATCTGGAACCCATCTTGTAATAGCGTGTGGGCAACAAAAAGAGATTTCAGGGAGGGTTCGCTCAAAAGTCCTTCAAGCGGGCGGAACGGCTTGCAACCCAAATTTGACGGCCTCTGCGGCATCTTAGTATTTGGTAGGCGGTCCAAGAATTCTATCATGAACTTGATGAGTCCACTCTCGTTAGGGAGTAAGTATCGTCGTAATCGATCTGATGCCGCTTTGTGAAGTGGAATCACGTCATTTCCCGGGTGCGCTCCATGCTGCAAAAGGAGCAAGCCTATTTCAAACTGCTTCAAACTGAAAGCTTGAGCGAGTGGTGATTCATACCAATTCTCTGTATCCAGCTCACATGAATAGCCTGGTAGATCAGGATTGGCGCCTCGCTCGAGTAGAAAGGTGAATGTGGCTAATGCATCATCCTCGTTTCCAGCCGAAACACTCAGCATCGCACAAGACAAGGGGTTCCAGCCTCCGCCCAGTCCGTTCGGGTCCATCCCTTTCTCGTCGACTAGTAAGACCACGATTTCTGTCAAGCCACGTAATGCAGCAGCCTCAAGAGCAGAGCTGCTTTTGTCACCGAGATCTGCTCCATGTTGAATAAGACTTTTCGACGTCTCGATGTGTCCGCCTTGTAATGCATGATCGAGGGGACCGTAAGTAAATGGTCCCAATGCCATATAGCGGCCTTTGATCAGATATTCGACAACTTCGGTAAGACCTCTGTAAACGGCGATATGAATAGCGTTAATTTTGTGGTTATGATCGAATGAGAAGTCTTCCGGGACGGAAAAGTACGGGGCCAAACGGGTAGGTACGATTTCTTTCCCGAGGTCGCCACCGGCCTCCAATATGGACTCAAAGACTTTCAAAACGTCATCCGGGTCGGGATAACGGCTGACAGATCTCTCGAGAGCCACACTTTCCCCATCAATATCTTGTCTGTAAAGGGGAGTAGAGAAGATTCCATGAAAGTGTTTGCTGCATATTGATAGTGAAGCCAAAGCAGGAATGGAAGAAAGACTGGCGATACTGAGCAGGATTTCGCTTGGGAGCTTGAGCATGCTGCATAAGTCCTCATGAGGAGTTAGTGGAAAGATTAAGTTAAAATTGCTTTGGCGGAACTGTCTAACTTCCTTTTTGTGAACACTATCACATGATCCCTACAGCTACGGAAGGTCTGATCGGGAAGTATAACAGGAAATTACTGGGGTATCCTGGTTGATAACAGAATGGTCCACATAACTCAAGAAAACTTGCATAATGGGATTAGCGACGTTAGCACTCGGGTGCATAGACGGCTGTCTTTAGAAACTCAATCAGGGTGGCTTGATACGAGTCGATTTCGCTATCACGAACTCACGCGAAATAAGAGGCTGTACAGTAAAGATCGCAATCGGTTGACCATTCTTGACACTCTTTGAGTTGTACGGCGCGGACGTTTTTGACGGTCCTGTTTTGCTTACACAGTAGGTGACCACTCTTGGCACAGTATCTTTGTACCCCTGCAAACGGCTTCGTCTACAGGCACTTCAATCGATGAGGCACCCTGCAATGCCTTCGCCGCAATATGGTCAAGAGATGGTCCGGTGACGAGATTCTGTTTCATGGGTTTATCTGAAAATCCTTTGTCGCGTGGAAGACTCTCGCCAATAGACGCGAAATTGGATCCAGAACCGGTCCCGAAAAGACGGTTTGAGGCGAAGACGTCAGGATCCTGGCGATTAGCTTTCCTGTTCTCCCTTATAACAATGGATATGACTTACTCGCATTGCTGTTATACATTCGGGAGAAGGGGACCTTTTCGGCTCTAGTTCAAGACAAACTGGACCCATGGACGACGGACTGGCCGGCGGGGAGAACATAGTTGAATCCATCGCAATACGGACGACAAAGATCATACAAAAATCGAAGTCGCTGTTCGCCAACTCCTACTGTCACGCTCGCAAATCTAGCAGAAATCTCTCAAATCGTCATTTCTCGTCTCGAGGGTTAAAACATTGCGGAAGGTCAGCTACCAACGGTGTTGCTTCCGGTGTTACGCACTATATGCGTAGGCTTTTTGGGAAGCTCTATGCGTGGTAGTTGTACGTTGTTGGATGCAGAAGGATGCTTTGGCTGCGGCTCGGCGGCTAATGTTGCGAGTGGACAAGGCTGTGCTGGTGACAGCGATAAGGAGCTGGGGATGCTAGGCTCAAGGTTCTCACGTGCAAGATAAGCGAAGTGAGCCTTGCGCTCATCACCCTTCGTGAAAGACATAGATTAATTCACTTTTACAGGTGATCTTTCGTGTCCTACACAGTTTAGCGAAGAGCCAGATGCGACGATACCTAGGCACCAAAACATGCGACACTGACATTAGGGTCACATGCCTGTCAAAACACGAATACAGACTGCGTGCGCACTCCGATATCTCCATTGGAGAATCCCAGGACATGATGCTACATAATACCATTAGGGTAAAACAGGATAATGGGAGGGACAGCAACAAACCACGCTGAAAAGGATTCTTGGAAAAAGAATAATATTAATTCGTAAAGATATTTCGCAGTCTATTAATACAAATTCACAACTTAATACTAACAAATGTGCCATATTGAGAAGAAGATCAAGGCTCACAGCCACCTATGGGCCTTGTCTGCGCATCGCCCGTGTCGATCGATATTGTAATTTGGGAGTCTCCATCTCGACGTCAATACCCTCGTCGACCTCCATTAATTTTGGATCCACCTCTATGGGCGCCATGGGATCCGGTGCTGAAGTGGGCTCTGCAGCTTCTAGCTTCGCGGGCTCCAGTTTGTTGTTCTCCTCCTTTGTGGGTGTGGGAGTTGGGCTGCCTTCCTTGAGGCCGGCCGACATCTCGCGACGCATGCTGATGGGTCGTCGTGTGCGGACCTTGCCCATTTCGCCTGTTTCCTTGGCCAGTTCAGGTTCTTCGCGTTGGACGCGCTCCATCTCTGTCTTGGCCATCTCGAGGACCTCGGTAAGTCGCTTCTGCACCTTGCTGATTTCATCATTGCAGTCTCCATCGCGCAGGAACTGGTGAGCACCGTGCTCGCACATGCTCTGCACAAATTCAAGACCCTTATCGAGATTATCGTATACATCGGGTGGTTGATCACCAGCACCGGGCCGTGCTATTGACATGGGGCCGAATCGCCTGCTGCTCATATATCGTAGCGAAGGGAGTGCGTCGTCGTTGTTGCCATCTTCTGACACGTCTTGCTCGGCTAATTTCTTGATCTGGGCGACTCTGGCGGCCATCTTAGCCATGCGAAACAAGTTTCGACTCGATGAGACGAATCGCACAAGTTCGTCAAAGAAGCCCTGAACATAACTATCGTAGTAAACAATAACCATGGTTCTTGTTCTGTAGGCGGCAGGGGCGTCGTCGTTGGACATCATAGATGGTGACTTGGGCTTCTTCTTGACTACAGCTCGTGCTCTAGCTTGCGCTGTCCTAATAATCTCTTGTTGTTGACGAATGGAACCGGGAGTTGGTGTGTGTACCTTGGACGTATTGGCTTTGACTGGCGTTTGCGCTCCGTTCTCGGCAGTAGCATCTTCGAGATTGTCTTCGTCGTTAGGAGCCTCGGCATTAACCACCGGACGGTCATCTTCAGAATTAAGTGTCTCGGTCGAGCCCTTATGGCGTAATGACTTTGTCTCCGGATTCCTTCCTTCTGTTGCAGCGACAGCGGCCAGCTCGGCTTGGCGTCGGTCGATCTGGCCGCTGAGGTCGTCGAGGCGCTGTAGCCAGTCTGGAACGTTGTTCTCAAGGTTTTTGAGAGCGTCCATGGCCATCTTGCTTTGATGTGGTTGAAGATGTTAAGTCAATCGAATGCACAGTGGAGCATGAAAATAAGTTTGAAGTAATATGATGTTGCAAAGCCGGCGATGAACAACTTCGAGCTTCCAGCCTGATAAAACAAGATGAGAGGTGAAAGAAGAACGAAATCCAAGAGTGGCTGTTCGTGGCATAGAGGCTTAAATAAATGTCTCACAAGTTCCAGAGGACGTATCATTTGATATCAGAGAAGCCGCCTGAATCTTTTCACCCTTCCCCTAGAATAAGCATAGCGCGTGCTTTACTTCGTCTGTTGGCTCGGATCGTCCTCATTTTTAGCGTGTTCTCGTCCAGTGGACTAGGGGACGGGTGTCTCATCGGCAATCCCGCGGACAGGGGTACAGCCATCTCAATTGTCACGCTACGCGTTCCTTACGCGCAACTGGGACTAGGGACGCCCACACCTAATACCTGGCTCTCCGAAGTACGGTGGTGCACTAACTTTGAGTTATGCATGTGCGATGCACCCACCTGTTTTCGTCCAGGCACACAACTCCAGTGGCTTGCGAGAATGATCCACATGCCCGAGACTGACAGACCCGAGACATCATGTCAACACCCAAAGGGGACTACTACTTTGCACGCGGGCGCTGACACATGGGGTTTAAGTGTCAGCAAAATGAGGTGCAAGCAATGAGTATTAAGCAGAGGACCTGCGTCTCGGCATTGTCCCTACTAAGTGCCAACACTAGACTAGCAACGGAAAGTCCCCAACTTAGTATTCTGACAGTCGCTACTACGATTCTCCTCGTGCTAATCAGTGCTGTAACCAAGTCTATAGCACCTTGGTACGTGACCTGTTAATGATGGGTGATCTCTTTTGTGAGACTCATTTCCTACTCGTAGCTGGCATGGGGCAGAGAACTGCACTGTCCTGAGACAGGTCGGGTGTACCCGCAACCTCAATTGCAAGACATGTTCAATTACGGCGCATGGCCTTCTTGACTAGAAAGAATACTTTGTGACAAGACGACTTTGAAATGAGATTTTTGACACGATTTTCTAATTCTAGAGTCTCGTGAGTAGACGGGAAATCTTTGCCGGGCGCGAAATGTCTCGTCCCTGAATCACAAAAGACCACGTAAGGCAGGCTCAAGCAAATAAACAGTCGACGACCAAAACATAACGCATGCCTCTAAGCTCGAGCCTCAGAATCGGATCCTGGACAATTCCTACCATGGTATTGGTAACGTGGGTTGCCGTTTCCACTTGCTTCTTCTGAAGTTTTGTACAGATCTAAAATGTCCTCAAGAACTGTCAAATCACCCACGTTAGCACATCCTCCAATCTCAACAGTACAACTGCACGTGCACATACCTGCTGTTATTTGATCTTCCCATACTCCATACTGGTAATCTACCAGACCGTGTCGTTCGATACCATCACATAACCGGATCAACTCATTGCCCATCTTCTTGATCATAGCTTTTGATACAAGGGTTTGTGATCTCGAAAGCTGTTGACAAGGGGACATAAGTTCTATCTGCTGCTGGCCTAGTCCTAGCCAGGCGTGGTTGATGTCGTTCCATAGTTGAATACGATCAGCATGAAGGTTGGTGTCGTCAAGGTTGAGACCTAAGTTAAATGATTAGTCCCGTTATTCTTTTTTTGCCCTAGAGAGCCCGACGACAGTGTTGTACATACCTAGATCAGCGACTTGAGATAAAAGCCAAATTGTGACGCTAAGTAATGTGTCAGATGCGCTTTGGAGAGACCCATTAAATATATCCTGGAATATGCTCTCTAGTTGCCGCTGGTAGCCAACCCATTTCTCAAGGGCGCCTTCTTCGTATTCGTGGTCATCTTTCATGGCAACATCGACGCTTGCTGTCGCTTGTGGCATTGCTCCCACACTAGACATGCTGTTGCTGGCGTAAATCATGGCATTGCTTCGCTGGTAAACATTTGTGGATCCGCTTGAGCTCTGCGTTGATTGATGCAGGCTCGGGCCAGCTGTGTTTCCTGTTTCGGATCTAGAGTTGGTTGAGGCAACAGTTGGTGTCATCATCTGCATCTGCAGAGCTGCAGGTTGCCGCGAACTGACATGTTGCGCATCGTAAACGGGATTTTGCAGGTTCGGTTGAGCAACGTTATACATCATCGTGGATGCAGTACCATAGCCACCAATCCCTTGCTGCTGGCGATAGCCGTAGCCCCATCCAGGGCCATATGCGGTTGCTGGTCCTTGCATGTTTGTTGTTTATAGGTTGCACCGGGCGGCGGACAGTAACCGTTGTAGGACTCAAGGCGATGTTTGTCGCCCAGTTCTCTGAACAATGATTTTCGTCTGTCTTGACTCTTTGTCAATGTTTGTTCCTTTAAACATGGACTCCTGCGATGGAATGCACTGAGAGGCTGGCGGTAGTTGTGACAAGATAGTCTGTAAAGCGTATATCATTTATGTTGGTTTAACAGGGAAAAGAACCTAGTACCGAGCAGGCGGGCTGAGCTGCAATATATCCTTTTTCGACTGATGTGGTGGACTTTGCGAACCAGTTCGTTATTGTGCAGCTGCCTTATTTCAAGTCCATGATGCACGATCCAGCTTACGGGACCGTTCGAAAGTGCCCAATCACCCTATGCATATGCATGGCGTCGGGATGCTCAATAAAGACTCGATTATCTACTGCCCATTGCAGAAAAGCGAGTCTCGCAGGGAAACGCTGGCATACTGTCCAATCAAACACCTCCAGACCGTCATGGTTTTTGGATTCCTCTACAGGCGTATCAGTTTGTATGGCGAGGTTGACTGTACTGTGACAAGACCATGAATGCCAGCTTCGTGTTCTCTTGCCACATGCCCCACGCTACGCGCCCTCGAATCTCGGGTATAGGCTATGAGGCTACACAACCAAGTCCTCAACTACCCCTGCTTCTCTCAGCTCAAATTCAAAATTTTCACTGTGTAAAACTTACAACGGTCGACCCTTCGGCTTAACTCATGAGGTCCTGTCTTGTTTTAGCACTGTGGTTTGTACATGCACTATTATGTGAGGAACGAAGAAGACTAAATGCAAGATACCGAAATGGTATATAAAGAACATATTGAAACCATGGTCTAACTCGCCCTGATGCTACATTTATACCCTACATACCAGTGGCTGGCGATTTGAAGACATAGCCATTTATGTGATCATCTGTGTCACACATTCACTGGCTCTCTCCAGCGCGCGATCCACGATGTTCTTGGCTTCAGGTTCTCGTCCAGCCCTTTGGTAATGGGCCGCCAGCACCCACATGTCGGCAATCACGCGCAGGTTACTCTCGCTAGCATGCGCTGACTCTCTCTTAGAGATGGCACATTGCAGATTTTGCTCGGCCATGTCCCAATCTTTCTTCTCCTCTTGCAGTCGAGCTAGCATCTTGTATGCGTGTGCGTGAAATCGGTCGGTTAACCTGGGTCCTGTGACGGATTCGATTTCCAGTAAGTCGTTCGCGAGCTCTTCAGCTTTGCCTCGATCGCCGACATACGTTTGTGTAAACTCTAATCGCAAAGCTTTGACTCGTAGCCTATCCGTGTCGATGGTGTTTGAGGTTCGCGACTGCGCTGGATCCATTCTTTCTAGGGCTTGATAGATGGCTTTCTCTTGTTTTATCAAATCGCTTCCCGTGCGTAGTGGTATACTTCCATCCCATATTAGCTGCTCGTAAGGCCAAAGTTGATGCGCCTCTGAAGTTTCGATGTGTTTGCCTAGAAGGTCAACGTTTCGGAGCCAGGCTTGGCGTAGTAGATCGCAAAAGAAACCCCGTTCGTTACAGCTATCGCGAGTCGTCAATTCTTGGAGGATGAGGCGGAGAGGATGTAAATCGGCAAGCTTTTGTTTTGCAAAAGCAGTAGCATGTTTGAGGAACATGCCCATGAGATCAAGATACCCCTTCCAAGCCATGTCATAGATCGTGTCTAGTATGTGCCATAACATGTCGGGGTGTTCCTCATGAAGAACAAATTCAAGCAGATAGAACCCTCGTCGTATGGCCCTTCCCGCAAGATCTCCTTTGCCGTGATACCAGAGGTCGAAAGAAAGTTCGAAAATCCGATACATTGTGCGACTGTCCTGAGAAGGGGGTGAATCTAGATTTGCCAGGTAGACGAACATGGGATCAGGGATGCTGGTTGAGAACTCTAGCTTCGACCTACTCCAATTGGAGACACTGTAGAGAACTTGCTCAAGCTTGGCGTAGGGTCCTCTATTGGAAGGACGGATCGGGGTAATTGTTGGGTCTCTATTACTCTGATCCTGGTGCTCTGTTAGCGATGTTGAAGATGAACACAAGACTTGGTCGTCAACAGTTCTCGCGCCAGGATATTGAAAGGTTGTCTCTGTTACCTCTGTTGCTACTTTTGTTTCCATCCCCATATCCCCATTCTGGCCCGCCTCTGTAACCCCCTCAGCTCTTGAATCAACTAAGGGAGTGGGAGCTGTAGAGGTAGATTCATGCTTTCTATATTCGCGTTTTCTTAAGCCCCATTTTTTCAGACGCTTCTTCAACATTTGACCTCTTTACACCATATGTCAGCTTTCCTTTCCACCCATCGGGTCTTTTTTTAAGGTGCTCATCGGTGGGAAACGGTTGTGTATTTCACTCACGATGTTGCGAACCGAAACACGTTATGCAGGATAGCCATTGTTTCTTCGAGAGTTCGGTTTTTTTCGATGTATACAACCGCGATAACCTGGCGCACAGCCTCCCACTCCTCTTGAGAGTGCTCCTTGCTAAGGGTCTTGTTATACATAAGTTGTGGGCAGCCCGGTTGCTTGGGAGCCAGGGCTGGCAGATTCGATGACATGCCGTTTTATAATGGAGCGAGGCAGAAACAGATAAAAGTCGTAGGTTAAAACGAGATAAGGGGATCAGAAAAATGAATTTTGGGATAGCTGTATGAGAAGCGTAGGAGTTCTTTCGATTCTAATAGTACGTGTTGTAACGACTTTGGGAAACAAAAGACTTCAATTCAGATGAAGTTAAAAAGGACAACGTTTACCGTATGGTATTGTTGCCAGCATGTGTAATCTTTTCTTTGTGCACGCAACGAGGGAAATTCCTCACGGTCACTCACGTCTTTTATGGTCTTGGGTCGTCTGTAGTACGACGTATGCAGTCGTAGACATGCCTCGGGCATGGACGAATTCGATTGTGTAAAGGCAGGGGCAAACCATGATGGTGCGGGTCGCCGGGATTTAGAAATCAGCAGATGGAAGCGCATTACTAGCCTGTTTTGGTTTAGGCTATCAAGGACATATAACTCAGCTCACAGGGGTAATGTGATAGCTGAACTTGGCAGGGCCTGCAGGTAAGAAATGATGAGCGTTGGCTAACTATAACTTGCCAATAAACACGAACGGCATGGCCGTCGAGCCGGCCCCCAAATCACCTACAAGCGAACATTGGGTGGGTTTTGCTAACTCTTAGCATAAGCCGAGGCGAGCAAGTAAGAAGCCGATTGGCAATAAAGCGAACAAAACCTTATCGTCTACGACTGACACCACTAGGCATGCTGAAGAAAGCATTCGGGGTCAGCCTTAATGCTGTAATTGGCTGCAAACAGGCCGAGACTACTAGGGTTCCTGAACTTGACTATATGCTACGGTGACGCAATGAGCTACAGGGTACCATGTGCACGGCGTACTTCTCAGCTCTGGTCTCACCTCTTGTCTTAAACCCAACATCATTGCCGTGATATTCAGCCAGTGTATGGAGTAGAATATGTCACGGTGTTCTAAATCTGGCCGAGTCGAAGGGAAGATACTGTTTAATCTGGCGTGCATTCCCCTTCGATGTAAAAGACGATAAACTGAAGCTATGAGTAGCCTGAATCCCGTTGCAAATTTTGATCGGTCGTTCTCTCTTCAGCCCTCCCACCAGGATATGAGCAAGTCCACTTTGCCCATCTCTACTTTATGCGAAGCCATGTCACAGGGCCACCCTTGGTTACCCTCTTAGCCACCCCCTTTTCGGCCTTTTTGTCCTGTTGTTCGACTTTTGTTCTTAGTCATCCCAGTTCGCGAAACTCCACCCAGAAAACATGAGAATATCCAAGCCCCGTGGTGCTTGAATCCCCCTCCCCTTTCAATGGTGTAGACCCCACATCATCGTATTCTTACTGACGATTGCTCCACTTACAGTGAAAATAATATGAGTATCTGGCTTTAGGCGTGATTGGCATAACTCACTTGGAAAATCTTCATTACTCTCTCCCACCGTGTGCATCGAGTTATAGAGGATTATGCAATATCAAGTCTCTCAAGTGCTGTCTCAGCATCATTAATACTCGCTGTCAGGTCACCGACGCCTCCATCATGTACACGTACTGACTTTGTTCTGGTTTAGTCATGCCACGCATTTCGACCAGATCTGATCTCTACATCGGTCCCGATCTGCCCAAAGCCATCTTCCCAGAAACCAGGGCTCTTCTCGATCAAAGCTTTCTCGACAGGCTTAGGCATCTTGACTCCGAAGTTTGCACGCGACCTTTTCTTTTTTTACTCCATGACCTTGTCCTGGTATAAGGTCTTGGCTGGGTCCAAGATGTGCTGTCATCTGGAAATGATAAGGCATAGAACATGGGTGCCCGTGATCGCTCAGTGAATGATGCATCTGTGGTGCAGCCATCGCAACAAATCTTAGGGTGTGGTGGCCAGGTGCGCTTGTGCCGCTCGAGAAGCTCGAGTTAGTCCTGGGTTCATAGCTGAAGAGATCTCTCTGGAGTCCTTCGAAAATGTGCATATCCGTTCGAAGTGCACTTGTTGCTGTTGCTGACTGTCGCAAGAACTGGATTGTCTTGCAGAACAAAGTTCGCAGCAGTTCCTCATCCACAAAGCTGTGAAGTACAGGGTAGCAGAAAGCAGCCGAAAGGACCAAAAGGTTACCCCGTTGACTGCAGCTGGTTAGTATGTTTTCAATTAAAAGTGGGAAACAAAGAAATTTACGCATGGGCAGTACCAAAAATGTTTGTGATGATCGGCCTCCTATCTCCCCAGCCAAGGAAGGCGCCAGTACTCTCTATAAGCGGCTTGATACCCTTTTTAGCCAATTCGACTACTTGGGGATCGACATCGCCAATTGTCCTAGCTTTGGGGTGGATCATCGGCGCAGTCACGTTCTCTCGGAATCCCGAGCTGACGCTGGGGAAGTTGGGGCTCGAAGCGTGGTTCTTGATCGAGTGAGAGAACTAAAGAATCTGTCGAATGTACGGACGATAGGTAATAACCTGAGCGCCCCAGTACTTGGTCCGCAATTTTGCAGCCAAGATATCGTCGGTTGGGGGATCGTCCTCACGGAATGCGAAGTTCGGTGCAACCCAGTGCATGCCAGAGATAGCGTCAGATATGACTTCAACATTTCTGAACTTGTCCTTGCCTGCCTTGGCGGGGTCTTCAAGCGCATAAAACATAATGGTTACTGTTCAGGTGAGTTCGCAGGTACAGTTGGCCAGGGTAACTGTCCAGAATGCGTTGGTTGAAGCCGTCCAAAAGGCTCATATTGGGATGGAGCATGTCATCCTCATAAGAGAGTAATCCCGACGTTGGAAGCTGCATCTCAGCAATGAGATCACTCTCAAGTTGCAGACATGTCGGGAAAGTCAGAGCAAGCTGGTTGTGCTTGGTCTCCTGGATGAATTCGCTGTTGCGCTTGATTCTTCTCAACTTATCCAAGCTCCTGGAATCATGTTAGTTACTGGTATCATTCGAAGGATTTCTTAGAACTTACGGTCTCATGATGACCTGCAGTTTATGGCTAGCTTTGTGAATAAGAGCAAAGCTTTCCATCGGTCTTCCTAGCTGACCGTGATACAACTCAGCAAAGATGTTGGCATAGACATTCTTCATATTGTTGTATGCGCCGAGGTGATTTCCAAGAATATCTGTAGCATAGGCGAAATACTCCAAGCCATGAATTGAAGACCGGCGACTGTGAATATTTCGTTCCCGCTCCTTGAAAGGTAGGCCTGAGGAGTGCGAGTGGGATGAGTATCCAGGAGGGGAGCCTTGATTGGGTGAGGGTGGAATGGCTCCGTTGCGGATGGCTGGGCTACCAAAGGGGGTGGCTCGGTAGAGTGAACGACATCGGGTACATTATCACGATGCAAGCAGACCTTGCCCAAAGCTAGAACAGTGAGGACCAAAGCGCTGTGGATGGACCGATCGGGTCAGCCAGCACGTTGTGGCGTGGGTGTAGGTGGCCCGGAACCATCCGGCCCTGGCGATCGCTTCCTTTTTGAACCTGCAGCTTCCGGCCTCTGCGAACCTCCTCCTACAGCAAATGTAGGCTTGGATGTCTGGGGCTTTGCGGAGCGCGGATACGAGGCTGGGAGATCATACAAAAAGTGTCTGACCCAATAATCCAGAAGCTTGGGCTGAATGATCGGGTGCATGTTAAGGATATGTTCCTTGAAACTTTCGACATAAGCCCATACTTTCGACTCTGAAAAGTCGGGGTTTCCATCGAAGGCCAGAACACCAGCCTTGAATTCTACTTGACCGGGAGGGCTAAGTCCACCTAGCTGTCCCCAATCAGCCGCTGGCGAAGAAAATGCCATGCCCGGTGAATCATCAGCCATATCCAAGTTGCCATGGTCGGTGGGTTCTCGAACGTGCCGTGACGGGTGAGAATCTTCACCTCATCCATAAACAATCAATACTCCTCGATTCTGTTCCTGGCTAATAGGATACTCGCTGATGTATCGAATTTCTTCTCGCTCAATGTGATGTTTCGTCAATTCGCGAACTAAGGGCCATTCCAAAAGCAGTCCCGCCCGAGTGGTATGATTGATAGGAATGGCTGGCTCTCCAGGGGGTACGGGTGGGCCAGGCTCGACCTCCCTCTCGTCTTCGACCATCATGCGTAGTGGCATAGGTTCCGATGGACTCCTTCTTGCTGCCGACATTGTGTTGGAATGGCAGGCTGTGACAGTTAGCGGTGTGCAGCGAAGGGAACCGGGGTCGATTTACTGACTTAGCTTGGTACGTTGGATGACGAGTAAGTTTCTGCGGTTATCTACCCTTGGAGAACCTTGCTGATCTGGAGGGTTGTAAGCTTGCTGTGTCGGGTTGAATGAAGGTTGAAGGAGTAAGAGGTCGCCTTGTGTACAGCTTGGCAGCTGTTGTGATGTGTTCATTGTCGTGAGAGTTCAGTGGCTGATGCAACTTGCACGCCTGACCTTACTGAGACTTGACCTACTGGAGGTCGCCATTGATGATACTTTAGAGAAAAAACTTATCCTAGCCTTGTTGAGGGCGAGTATGAGTGATGCGCTGGATGCGCCCGCGGCGGAGGCAGAGGTGGGATGCTCTCGTGAGCTTTGCTGCGGCTGTTGATTTGTAGGTTGCGGTTGGGTGGCAGACGTCGTGCGAGGCAGCGCTGGAGGTGAATGTTCTTAACAACTTCTCCATTCTATCGGCGTCGTTAGTAGTACTCGAGGGGAAAATCAGGGAACGTAAGTTTTGTATTGAGAAACCTCTGAAAATGACAATGAATGTCTGGTTTGGTGAAAGTCGACTTCGAGTGGGTTTAGGGGATGAAGCGAGACGACAATGTGGTTGTGGCGTACTCACCATTTCGAAACAAGGTTGGCAAAATTACGCACGGGAATTGTAAAGGATTCATGCGAACCAGTTGCCTTGCTATGCTGGGATAGTGCCCTCTTTATGCCAAAGTCTTCGGTTTGGCATAGCTTACGTGCATAAAGCGAATGGTCTCTAATCGTCTTTGCTGCATCAATGACCTACAGTACGATCGCAGTCTGTAGGATTTAGTACCCACAATATGCAGTCTTCAAGCTATCACCCTTGCATTTCCTGGTCTACCTTGTTCAAGGCGACATCTCGAAGCCCACCTTACAGCTGACATGGATTCCGAATGCTATTTTCTTAGCGCTAGCTACCCATCCTTGTTAGTCCCTGAAGCCAGTAGGCGTGACGCTGAGGTCGCCTTGCATTTTCCATTTCCAGCAAGGGTTTGGGCCCGTTCCATGTTGGTTCCAAAAGTTGCTCGCAAGGATACCTGTCGTATCCCCTGGTAGGTTAGTTGGCGTTAGCGACTGCTCATCATCGCCAACACGCCAACCTCGGGACATCGTGCGCTACGCAAAAGCAAAGCGCATGAGTACTTAGTAACTGATTCTAAAAGCAACATCACGAGGATGTGGAGGAGCTAAATCGCTTAGCATCGTAACGGCATGTCAGTTCATCAGTCATGAACATTTAGGTACAAAATTAACAATCGAGAACGAATGAGCGGACGAACAATACAGCAGTCAACTTCCACTATGTAAAGCGAACCCAGGGTCTTCAGAGGATGTAAGACAAAGATTTGCATTAGGTACTTTAGGCATGACAAGCCTCCTTTGTCTACCAGGGATCACATTGGCATAGGGCGACCTTATTCCTTCCTTGATGGGAGTGCCACTTTCCGTTGCGTCTAGACAAGTGGGGGTTTCGGGAACCTTTTCGGCAAGCCGGCGCGGGCGCAGACCCTGTTTGTTGTCGATCTGGCACGGACCTCTTAGGTTAGAGGACCACGATCGCAATGCCACTATACAAGTTCATTTACTTTGACCGCCCTGGCTTGCATCCTTCTTCGCGGTCTAGGTATGAGGCACGGCACGTAGGACACGCAGGAACTGCTAGCCGATTGAGCTGCTTCGTAATGCATTAGGAGCCGTTATGATACACTAAATCACTGGAGTTAGAGATAAACAACACGATATTCAAGCTGCCATCACAGCTGAAAACATCACTTCCATTACTCTGCATTCCTCTTTTCTCAACCAATTTTGCGTATTTGCCACTACAGGCCTTTCGTCCACTCCCCCACTTCAATTTTCACACCAACGCCTACGGAGTAGAGCATGTTTTATCAATGATACCAGCCATGCAAGGCGAGACTTGCGAATTATCTGAGATGACTGCCACTCCGCATGGGTAGTATTTCCTAATTTGTTCATCCAAGTGGCCAAGCTTCATACCTCCACTTAGAATTATCACTGAAAACTATTCAAAGCTGGCCTGGGACCACCTTCTAACCGTAAATTTACTTGTGAGAAAGAACACTTACACATTGTTATGTATGCCATACAGTGCAAACTTCTTGTGGGCTCGTCATAGAACAATCGGGATAAAACCTTCTCGTACATCATCGCTGTTCTTCGGAAGGTGGTATCTCATATTCTTTTAACCTGATGGTAGGCTGAAAGCATAGCGAATCAAAATGATAATGAGTTGCGCTGCACTACAGATAACCCCGGCCATCATTTCACTTGAAATCAGGTCAGCGACTGGGAAAGTTAGACACGTGGTCACCTAGGTAAGGATATCACTGCATCAGGCATGCAAAGCTCAGATAGGCAGAGTCTAGAGACGATTGTCTGGCGATAACATATTGTAATGTTCTAGAAGTAAAGTGGAAACAGGAAACCAAATCCTCCAAACAAACATTCCAAACCTAGCTCTTGAAATGGATTCTTTTTGACTACCTTCGCTCTTTGTGCTCTTCACAAAATCCAAACCACCAAGCTCTATATCAGAACTAGTGACGTTTGTCGTTTTATAGCCGATCATGCACTTCCATCGTTTCCACAACTGCATTTCTCCTCCATACTCTTCCAAGCGCTTGGTCTCTGCCGTTTCGTATGGCTATACAGTCCTCGATTTATTCCTATCCGTCTGTCCAAATTGATGGCATATCAGAGATCCCTCAGGATCCATCTTACCTTATCCCACGACCAGCCCGCGTTGGCCTACCTCTCTTTTCCTGAACTTGTGGGTTAAGTTTGATTTCTTCTAACAAATCCTGTCGCCGCGTTAGTGACTTCTGTTTTCCCGCCGGGGCGGACGCTTACCTTAATCATTTGTGCATTTTTGAGGGCCTTATCCATTCCTCCCATGACCTCGACTTGGTTTTTCCCTATCTTAGTTTCGATGAGCTTGAGGGCGATGCGAAGCAGTTCCGAGATACTGCCATCTGTCATTTCTTCGTTCGTTATCTGCTTCTTAACCCGCTGCTTTCTCAATATTTTCAACCAGACGCCAATGCCCGACCACTGCAAGAAATGACCCGTCGTATTCAGCGTTTGTTTGCATCGACCAACTAGGTGTATACATCCGGATGGCAGGAGGATGGTATTCCCAGGTTCCAAAATAACGAAACGAATCCGGCCGTTGTCTTGGCTGACATCTGATGCCCAATTGTCCCATTCATCATCAGTTGGGTTGGCCAGGAAAACGACGATAGTGACGCCCTCTTGAGACTTGATAAAGGTTGAAAAGCCTTTACTGTCTGTATGGTACGAAGTCCAGTGCCCGCCCTCACATAAAAGCAATCCTTCAAGGACATTCTTGTGGTGACGGGCTTCTCTCCGCGATGAAGCATCTCTCTGGGCCCAATCGCTTTGCAGGCTATGGTGCTGAATCAGATGGAGAAGTTGGCAGTTCATGGCTTCGATACATGGTGGCAGGATATTAGGAAGAGGGTTCGAAAGGTCCAGGACATTCCAAGGTTGATCAGATTTTGTGTTGGGCATGAATTTGTCATAGACCTCTCTCAGTTTTCGTACCTCGAAAGTATCAAGGCTTTGGTCTCGAGTTGGAATCTGTACTGAGACCCGTTTGTTCAGATCTAATAGCCATTCATCGAGGATTTGCTCAATTGGACGTTTTTGGCCAACAAATACACATTCTGGTTGACCTTTGATGACAATTGGATTCGTAATCGTATCATTGACTAGTCCGCGAGACTCTTCAGCCGTGCAAAAAGTTGCTTCTACTTCTCCTGCTTTTGGGTCCGTATTTGGAGGCTGTGCTCTTGGTAAAATGTGCTTGACCTCGTCATTGGTCATGAAGCCATGTGAATTTCTCAAACTCCCGTTGACGTTACAGGTTCTGTTGCGTAAGTCTTCAAGGGCTTCCTCTTTTATCACTTGATGTCGCGATATCTTGGCGTCCGTTAGCAAAGGAGATTGTCCTGCCGACAGTTCTTCCGCCTGCTTGGACGTTTTTGTTTCCCGCTTGAGCAGTTTGTGCGATCGACGTTGATGCTGCCGTAAATACTTATGCCATATGTATTTCGTCTGAGGCTTACCAGGACAGTTCCCAAGTTTGCAAAAGCCCGTTGTGCGAGAAGGCACTGCTTCACTGTAAAGATGCTTTTGATAAAATTCTTCAGTAGGCAAGTCTTGTCCGGAGCTATGAGCATTGGGTTGAGCCTCGGATCGAACCTCGACTCGATCTGTGGATGGCGAGTTGAGTGGTAAGCCTTGCACTGACTCTTGGGAAACAGTTTCGGCCCCGGGCTGCGGGCCGCGAGCTAACCCTCGAGCTGAGCCTCGACCAGAGATACGGACCGCTAGTTGAGCCTTGGGTCGAGACCTGTGTTGAGCTGCATGCCTTGAGTTGAGTTTCGAGATGAGCTTCGAGTTGAGTTTCGAGATGAGCTTCGAGTTGAGCTTCGAAATGAGCTTCGAGTTGAGCTTCGAAATGAGCTTCGAGTTGAGCTTCGAATTGAGCTTCGAGTTGAGCTTCGAGTTGAGCTTCGAGTTGAGCTTCGAGATGGGCTTCGAGTTGAGCTTCGAATTTAGCTGTAAGCCTTGGGTTGAGCGCCTAGACGAGCTGCGGGCCGCGAGCTGAGCCTTACGCTTAGCGGCGCACATGGAGCTAAGGCTCGGGTAGAGATATGGGCCTCGAGCT